AGTGTAGAACGTGAGGTGTTGTGGTACATATTAAGGAGGCAGGGTTTTAGGGAGGAGGTGGTGCGTTGGGCAGAGACATTGTATAAAGGTGTGGGAGTGTGTTCAGGTAAATGGGAAGCTGGGGGAGTGGGTATCCATGGGTTGGGGTATTAGGCAGGGTTGTCCCCTGTCTCAATTGTTGTTTGCCTGTTTAACAGACCCTTTCTGTAGAGAGGTGGGAGTGTGTATGGAGGTGAATTGGGGAGTAGGAAGTGGAGAGCAGGGAATAATAGGGTACGTGGATGACACGACAATACTCGTGCGAACGCTGAGGAGTTTACGTGTGGTAGAGGATGTTATTGATAATTTCACGGGGGTTACCGGTTTAAGAGTTAATGTGGAGAAATCAAAATTACTGGTCTTAGGAGATTGGGTGGGAAGAGAGAGTTGGGGATGGAATGTACGTTGGAATATGGTGGACAGGATAAAAGTGTGTGGGAAAGTGTATATGTGTAGTGCGAGAGAGGCAAGGTTGGTTAATTCTGGACTTGTTGTGGATCGAGTGGTGGGGCGCTTGGATGGGTTGAGACCAACTCATTTGACAGTACATCAGCATGTGATTGTTGTGAATGTGTTGTTATACAGTAAAGTCTGGCATGTGGCAGCAGTATATCCGTTAGCAGGTCCTGATGTTACGAGGCTGTTAAGGAGGGTTTTCCATTTTCTTTGGGGTCCCGGGTGTGAATGGTTGAGTAGGAGTGTGGTTACCCTACCGGTCAACAGAGGAGGATTGGGGTTGATTGATTTACGGTTAAGAGTCAAGTGTATTTATTTAAAGTGGGGGTTACGCCGTGTGCGGGGGACAAGCGGGGAGGGGCGTGAATGACTTACATGAAGAGGTGCGAATGTGGCAGGGAGGGTCGGAGATGAGGGTGTATGAAGACGTGTTGCGGGCGTTGCTGCATGTCCGGGACCCTAATAAAGTTTGGGTGGGTGTTTTAGAGCATGCTGTAGGGGCGAAAGTAGTCGCGAAGGCTGAGGGTATCTACCCTATGTATGCGTGGGAGGATATATGGGAGAGGTTACGGTTGATGTGCATGCGACCAAATGTGCGAGAGGTATTTTTCCGTTTTCTCCATGGTATACTGCCGTCTGGTGCTGCACTTAAGGAAAGAGGGTTGATGGTGGAGGGTGCGTGTCGGGTGTGCGGGGATAAGGAGACAGGGTTTCATGTAGTGTATTTTGTGATAATTTAGGGAGTATCAGGGAATGGATGGGTAAGGTTCTGAGGACAGTGGGAGGGGGCGGGATATCAGTATTGAGGGCGTTAAGTTTGGACGTGGGAGGCGTAGAGGTGCCTGTGCAATGTGCAATCACGTATATAATTGCGGATTTTGTTTTTGTATCCTGGGCGATGAGAGGGAATGGGGATTGGGAGGTGCGCAAAAGGGTGTTGGTGGCGACCATTTATAGAATGTTGTAATCGGGGAATATATGGAAGTCGCTGGGACCAGGCTTTTTCAGCAGGGTATCGTAGTATGAGTGTGAGAGCATTGTTAGCGTTGTGAAAGGGTGGGGGTTGAAGTTCAGGGGATGGAACGGGCTCGTCTCCGGGGTTGGGTATGCACAAGGGCTGTGTTGCTGTGTGTATCAGTGTAATGTGTGGTTGTGGTGAATGTGGTTGTGTGAGAGGATGTGGTGGTGCAGTTATATAATGTGTTATAGCTGTCTTATGTCAGAGTCTACTGCCTTCTTTCTTTGTTGAAGTACTTAATTTACCTTTAGGCTTTGCCCTGGCAAACGGGGTTTTATGTGTTTGTACCGAGCATTTTATTGCTATATTATATAATGTGTACAGCCTGTAGATGAGCGCGGAATGCTTATGGCTTTTCTAGTTTTGTGGCTGACTCGTAAGACTTGTGGTAAGGCGAGTATGTGTGACTGTTGGGAACTTATGTACTGGGGGGGTTAGTTGAGTAAGAGTATGTACTTTGTTTTATCATGAGATTGTGATGTAGGTCCTTTCATTTATTGATTATTTGTGCAGGTTGTGAGTAACCGATATATTTATCGTAATATTCTTCTTATTGTATTGTGCCTTGACAATATGTCACAGTAATATTATGTAAATAGTGTATACCTGAAGGGATTATGGCTATTTTTTTTTTTACATTATATTATTGACCCTGTTACAGGGGTCATCTGCATGTTATGTCCTTGTTGTTGTTCTTGTGTAAATAGGATTAAGATTACCCATCTTTCTTAATGTTATGTTCTGTCATAAGCGATATTTTCTAGTGTATTTGTGTAACCTCTTTGTGTTTGTTAATATTGTGTTTGTTATTTTGCTATTGTACGTCCTGAGGGATTGTGATTCATAATGTATTTATATTAAATGCATATCAACCCTTGTTTAAGGGGTTTTATGTTAAGCTATGCATTGTTTTAAATAAAATATAAAAAAAATTATAGAGGGTACTTATAAAGACCTCAGAAATTTTAGGGGTTATCAGCACAACATTGGTTTACAGTACCGACAAGTTGATGTCTTACATACATGTGTATCATCTGCGTATCTTTAATGATATTTGTCAGGATCTACAATACCATGGAATCGTTGTACACAACCTACTTGCTAACCTCTGGTGGCCCAGCTCGTGGTCATGACCTACATCCACTAGTGGGATTCCGCCTATGACAATGCCTTTATCTGCTGCATCTTAGTTGACTCCAGTATATAAGCGTTTATCTTTCTGCTATTCTTTAAATTTACCAAGACTACGGTTCTGAACATCTCCTAGGTTGAGGGACTGAATACATCATCTACTATCTTAGGCATAGTCTTCAGTTTGTCACTGTTGTATTGATAAAGCCACTGGTTGACGAAACGTCTCCTAAGTTTGATACCTAGATGTTGAACGTGTCTATTTTTTTTTAATCTTAGCTTTTGTGAGGGAAAAGTTCATTAGGTAAGAGTGGTGAAAGTATGAATGCCTGCTGGTGGTAGTTTGTTGGGCAGTCTGCTTGTTCAGTTAGGGTGAGTGCATAGTTCCCGCTACCACCCACCCCCACCCCTTCTGCACTGGTGGGAGGTGATGAGGGTGTCTCCTACCGGTGGTCAGTCGACTTGCGGCTCCCATCAGATCTGTAAGTATTCCTTCCACTAATATCTAAATGATTATATATTTTGGGTTAAGTTGGTTTCGATAAGAGCTTCACTCTTGTTTAGGGTTTTAGACTCCAATTTATTCCTGCCTTGTTTTGAATTTACGTAGTGTTATGTCGTCTTTTAATCCTCACCATTTCTTTTAAAGGCTATACACCTATCGTGTGATTCCTAGATTGGTGCGTAACTTCGTGTTTTCTTTATTTTAGCCTTGACTATCGACTCGGGTTATTCGACAGAAGCGAGATAAAGATAAGGGCAGCATTGATTTTTCCAAGATAGAAACGTCACCTTGACATCTCTATCCACACTGGTCCCCTTTCCACACGTAGCCGACCACCCAGTCAACTACCCATCATTCAAGTAGCCTTCTCCCAGTTATAATTCCACCAGCGTTTCCTGGTAGTTCTTTACTGGCGACTTAACAGCTTCAAAAGTGTTGTGGTCAGAGGATCAGTCAACCTTGTTGGGGGACACTGTCTTCTGTCTACAGTCACGACCAGCAGTGACCCCCCCCCCCCCGTCATCAACAACGGCTCGGCGTTGCAAACCACCATTCAGAGCTACTGCCAAGAACATCAAGGGACCTTTTTCCACTACGTTGTGTAAATATTAGCTTTGAATCGCTAATTATTTATATTTTACAGTTTTGCTTAAAGTAGGATTAATTTCATGTTTGTTTTATATTCTTTACTACATTTTACTTATAAATTTTTTTGTTTTTGGATTTTCAGTCTTTATTTCCATAAGGAGGAACCAGCCTTATCAAATAATCTCAGGGTCTGATAGGGCTGCAAGAGCCTTCACTGTTATTTAAAATGGGTTATTCTTATATTTTCTTGAGTTTATCTTGTATTTTTTTTTTTTTTTTGTTAATTCTAGTTTGAACGTTTATACCTCTTCAGAGAAAAGGGTCCTGAATGAGCTGATACACAGAAGTTCTGTGTAAATGCAATATTTCAATTTCCTTTAATGTATGTACCATGAGATGCATATGAACCTCTCGGTGTATAAGCCCTCCTGTATATATGCACCTCTAGGTGTATCAACCCAGAATACAGTCTGTATTGATGGCTCGCATGATGATAGAGGAAGAATGAACATGTTAAAAGGATAGAAAAAATCACAGCGGGTTAGTCGAAAAGGATTAATTTACGGTATAAGAGGCAATAATGGAAGAACACTTAATATTAAAATGATTTGCTAAGTAGAAATGAAAGTATTATAATAATCTTTATTTCCACAAGCATATGTTCAAGGTGTACAGGCCTAGCTGACATCAGTGGCATATTATATAAAAAGCAACTTGTTACGCAGAGCATTTCGGGCAAATTAGGTCAATTTTGTCCCCAGGATGCGACCTACACCAGTCGAGTAACACCCAGGTACCTATTTTACTGATAGGTGAACATGGACAGCAGGTGTCTTAAGGAAACACGTCCTGAGAAACTGAATGGTACGAAGAGTGAAAAAACTGTATAGAAACTTAGATTAATGTAGATTCTAGTATTGCAATTTAATTAACTTTTTTTTTAGTAATTAATGGAAAATATAATTCACAGCAAATTTCTCAGAGCTCCAACAGTCAATATAAATGTGGCTAATGTAGGTGTATGGTCTGCATAAAGGAGCTCTCGAATCACCTAGGTGCATCACAGCCCCGCTTTCCTAGACTTTCTTACCTCTTATCTGTAGTGGTGCTTGATTAAGCAGGCATCTTAATTACAATCACGTGGTTGTTTTAACATTAGCTGGTAACGTAGCTACGACCGTGCGGTGTTGCTGGAATCTTAGCTACAATCGTGTGCTTTATATTAGCAAGTATATTGGCTATAATCACGTAATTACAGCTTACATGAAGAAAAGGGAAGTAGAGGAAGAATGGTTGTTGTGAGGCGGCGGCATCAGAGATGAAAACTTTTGCTTGGGCCACCAGACGCTGTGTCAGGGTAGGCAGGTATGCTGGCTGCTCTACGATACTCGAATTACTGAAAAGTGAAGGTAAATTTAGGTTTCAGGCCTATAGACTGCACGTGGGTCATTAAGACCACAATTCACCTGTACACTAGCATCCAAAAATATGCACCTATCCTCTTAGACTAGCGAGTCCAGCACGGGTAAACCAGCGGGTGCTACCGTGGTGGCCAGCCTCTTCCTGTTCTTTTTAACGGGAAGAGTTTCCTGACACGAGCCTTAATCATGTCGGTAATTCGTTGTGTTGGTACTGTCTTAGTGTTTTCGGCTACTCAACTTTCATGGTTTGCTTTAGACACACCGTCTAGCTACACTTAGGCTGTAAGGTTGTAATGTAGGAACTGTTTTTATTTTACACACCGGGTATCTACATCCGGGGTAGGCTGATTTATAAAAATTAAATACATTCACCATTATTCAGTCGATAGCTGTCTTGTCAGAAATGAGAAAATAGACAACTGTTTGCAGGGCAGGTAACTATTGCTCTGCACAATCAGTGCACAAATTGCCAAGGTAGATCAAAGAAAGGTTCCAGTGTTAACAACAATTTAAAGCGAAACATTGAGGAATAGATTAATCAGCGACGACACAATCGCTCCCGGAGATAATGCCACAGTTCAAGTACTAAAACGAGTATCCACCTAGAGCGACCAGTGTCGTCAACAACTCTACTACTGATCCCATCACAGGACCGTTAATTTTGCAACAATCACATGTTTATAAAATGATTGTGCTGTATAATCCTCCGGGTTTAGCGCTTCCCCCTTGATTATAATAATAATAAATAAAATGATTGTGAGGTTATATTGGAATGATGACTTGATTAACTACAATTCTGACTTGTGTCACTAACGTGAACATGGACTCACCTGAAGAGCGGGCAGGAAACCTTCGAGGGCCAGCAGAGGTCGTAGCAGGGCTGGCCCTGTGGAAAACACTGACGGCAGGGACACATGTCTTGGGAATAAGGCAGCCCTAGGTACTGGTCGAACCCGAAGTGAATAGGTAGATACTCTCTGGCGGCGCCCACACCCAAGTGCCACTTGCCCACTATCTGAGTCCGGTAACCCTGGCCACACAAATATTCAAGAAATGTGCATATAAACCGTCGAAGAATTTTTTTTCTTTAAAAATCAGTAGAGCTAACTTTTGCTGAACATATACACATTATACACACACACGGGGTCAGGAGCTACAACTCGACCCCTGCAACCGCAATTAGGCGAGTATACATACACACACCAATATGTACTCATATTAGCTATTTTGTGGCCTATTTCCTAGGCCTGTATGGATCCATATACTCTCTCATTTCCATCTGTATTATGGAAATGAGGTACAAAGTAAACTAACCACTTTTGATGCAGAATTAAAAATGCTAAAAGTATATATTTTTCGTATTTTTTTTTCAGTCCCTCTACATCATCCACATCACGTATTAAGCTTCACTGGTCAGGTAGGGAAAAAGTCAGCGTTTTGTACGTCTATACGCTTAAAACTTAGCTGTCCTTCCTTTCTGGAATGTGATTAACAGATCATTAAGTTGTAATGGCGGCACTAAAACCAGTTATCAGTCTACTGATCGATTATATGAAGGTAAGCTCTACAAAAAAACTAATTATAACTAAAGCAATGAACTCCTGCATCAAATTAGCAAATGCTTTGATTTTGTTTAATTAAAACACCAAGACAAGATAGTCGCCTGTCCTGTAACTTTATAATCACGTACGTATTGTTGACAAGCTCCAGACATGTTCCTATAACTTAACCGACAAGTGGAAGATTGAGACAATTTTTTTTTTGTTATGGAGGTGCACAGTGGCACTACATAGGACTAGTTAAATTTAATGTAAGATTAGCTTATTAAACAAATAACGTAACTGTTATGGAAACTGAGGATTATATTCAGTTCCCTTTATAATAAGCCATGATAAACAGATGCAAGCGTGTGTAGTGAGAAATAATACCGGAAGCCTGCAACCAGCATGAGTAGCCAACTGGCAACTAGTACATTAGATATCATTGGTGTGCGCCTTGTTGAATTTAATGTATTTTGTTGCACATTTTTTTTATAGAGAAGTCCATCAATTAGCAAAACCCAATTATACCTGAGGACGATGTGCGAAAGTTTAATGCACTTTATATTTACGCAGTCCTGAAGAAATTGTGGTATTTAACATTCGCAAATGTACTAGGCCCTTAGGAAAGATTGTTTTTATAACTAGTGTTGGGCCTTGCTAACAATAGCCTATAAATCATGTTTACTACTTCCGTGGCATAAAGTACTCCACCCCAAAAAATAATGAACTAGTCCACCTTACGAGTCTAATACCCGACTCCATTGCCCACAATCTTACCATACCTATGTCAGGTTTCTGACACAAGCATGCCACAATTAATACTCAAATAGATAAGAGTATTTATGGATGATAAAGAATCAGTTAAAATTAAGATGTCAACTTTAGATAAGTGGACTTATTTGAGGACGAAGAGTATAGCAAACAATTTAGTCTGAAGGGTAGAAGACCAATTGCATGCTCAATTTCTGTACGAGAACCTTCAATGTATGACAGCAGCGCTACCAGCTGCACCAGTGGATTTGTGAACATAACCATCAACATCTATAATTTGTTGAAGAGTGCTGTGAGGAATAGTGGTTTGGAATGAGGTAATTTTCCCTGGTGCAGGGAAATGTCACTGTTGTCTTACTTGACATAGATTATGTATCCTATTCATTCAGAGGTCAGTTCGTTTTTATGATCAATCTGGAATGCTTACTAGTCCTCTGTAAGATTAGCCAAGTCAGTTGTTGGTAATGGCAGGAAGTTTTCCCTCATTGGACTCCACTGTTGAACCAATATGTACTTTATAGTGATCGTTATTAAAGCTTCTATGGGTGCTATGCGTCAGAATCTTTTCCCAAATAAAGCTCGTTAAATCTAATTATTTTTTGCTGTTCATGATTCTTTCCGGTACCGATACAACCTCACTCGTAGGTAACCTTACTTTTTTGTCGCAGTGCTAAACACTCACAGCTCATGGACCTCTCCTCAGCTATTATATAACCTCCTGTTTCATTTGTATCTATGATTTGAAATCTCTTGTGGACCAGACATGTTGTAATAAAAATAATTCTCAAATGTTGCCATTAGCATGATCATGTCCAGCGTAGCATGGGCCAGCAAGCCTGCAGCAGTATTCCACTATTCTTATGGTCTTACGGTACTCGTGTATTGAGGAGTAAACCACTTGACAGTACTTAGCATTTACAGGAACCGCATTTATATTTCATGGTGGTATTATAATATGTTTATAATCAATAGCAGAACCTGCAGCTTTTGAAACTGAGAATACATGTAGGGTGGGAGTAGGGCCCTTGGCTAACCTTTTTCTTGAGGAGGGTGGCAATGGTCGTCTCGTTGCGAGGAAGACCAAGTGTGCTGTCTGAGATGAACACTCTTGGGTACACTCCGCTTCGCACCTGCACCCGCCCCGTCAATAGTGACGCCCTGGACAATAATGGATTCTCACTCAAAATGGCTGGAAACAATCATTACATTAATTGTAATTTCATCACATGACCGTTTGTAATTTTAGTTTGATATCTTTATTCTACACTCCAGGGGCTCGTATCCATCCTTGGGAGGGAGGGGGGGTAGTCTGAAGATTACAGAGGCACATAAAGGGTCCGAGGACTGGGCCCCCAACATTGTTAGCTAAGCAAGGTATAGCAACAAAGAAGTGTTTACTAAAGTAATGAATTAATCTAGAGAAGTAATGAATTGGTTAAATATTTAGTCAATTCAGATTCAAGCACTTGTATAATCTATAGGCATAACTTCCACAAATGGATTTTGTCCACCGGTGATGCCTCCTTCAACTGCTTCACTTCACCTGTTTGCATATGATGTACTTTCATCATGGTTGACTGACTGAACACATCACCTCCAGGCTGAGAGACCAATTATATCTCCTAGTCATCTTGTGGAGAAATTTCTCCAGGATGGGGAGTATCGCCCCCCCCCTTTCAGCCCTTTTCAGCCCCATGGGACGACCCTCTCAGGAAGGGCAAATGTCATCTAACTTCTGATCAGCAAGTTTAATTTGTAACACATGTTTGTTGTGCCCGGGCGCCAAGTAAGACACGTTCGTCTGAACAATGTTGCAAACTAGGGTGGATTAATGAGAGGAAAATTTATCTCTTACCTTAGCAGAACAAATAAGAAAACCTTGCAGCCATTTATTACCATGTTAAAGCTAACATGAATTATCATCTATGTCCAGACAAGAAATCAAGCATCCTGCATTGCTTCCTGTTGAAGTTTGGTAAGGAAGGGAAAATTGCTGGAATCAGCATATCTTTTGTGTGGTTGGAGACGCCGAGACCGCCGCGGCTGGAGGAGGGTAGAGGCCATCAGATAGCGTGAAGACCTGGTCTGAGAAGCGTATTACCCATGCATTGACCCTAACAAAAGAACTACAACAGTGCGTTCTCGACTTCTCAAACAATCTCCATTCACGGTAAAAATAAGAAGTGTGCGCAGATTCTTGTAGTGATATTACTGTGAATAAAGGACAAGTATTGGAGAACAGTATAGTGACAGTGCAAGTGTTACAAATTTCCAGACTAAGTGAAGGACGTGTGACATTCCTCAAAAGACACTATTCTTCAGTCAAGACATCGATACCGGGTTACATCCCTGACACAAGCCAAGGAACTTAATGGTCAGCTACAAAAACCCAGGTACGTCGAATAAACCATGATACTGGCTAGGTCGGCTGCGCAGCGGTTAGCTAAATCATGTCTTATTTGGCGGTACCATATTAACCCGTGATGGGCGGGCCATCGAGCTCAAAGCATGAGTAAAGAAGGCACTGTTCAGTATTGTCACTGAATGTATATTGCCATATATGCTCCTTTGAGGCAGTCAAATACTTACCCATATTTCTCAACAGCTCCAAGGCTGTAGAACAATTGTTTCACGTCGGAGGAGTCTACCTGCTGAAGCTGCGAAAAGCTGAACCAGCAACAAAGCTAAGTACGTTAATTCCTGTACAGTTACATAGCTTATGTTATTGTTCTACATATAAATATAAATCCCAAAACATCTTCCACCGTTCTTTTCTGTATTGGACTTAATAAGCCACTGGCTAGCGAAACACTTCCACAATAAAGATATCCAAATTTTGCATTAGTGTCTCACCACAGTGTGTACAGTGTAGCGGATGCAACAACTATATATGCACGAGAGATTTCTAGAAATTTGTGAGAACGCATCTGAGAACACCGGTAATGTCAAACTGCTCATCACCAGTATTATACTCTGGAACTCCCACAAGCTCACCCCCGCCCAAACCGGTTCTACATGCACACGCATGTAGAACCGGACCTATGACTCACTATATATACTCCGTCTACTTCCTTTCTCTGTATTAGATTGATATCGTCCCTGGCAAGCAACGTCTCCTTAAGAAACTTCCAGATACCGATTCTACTTCTTACAGAAATTGACTGAATCATAAGTTTCTTCTTGAAGCAATTACCTCAAGGTAGAACACTTAATTGTGAATCGCTAATTATTATTACTATTATTATTGGTATATTCACGGAGAAGCGTTAACCCCATGTCACAGTTCCTGAGGAATGGACGTAATTAGGTTTGACAGAGAAGTTGAAGGAAACTCCAGTTCTTTGGATCAAGAGACCTTCAGCATCAGGGAACCACTTTAAAATGTGTAAATCGGTAAACAGACAGAACTTTATACAAATATCATGGATTTATTTGCTTGACGTCTACTGCTGTCATTGAAATTAAGTTATAAGAGCACAAGATCTTAGTTTTGTGATTACCTGAGCTTCTGAAAAATTACAAAAAATTTTTTTTTTTTTTTTTAACACACCGACCGTCTCTCACCGAGGCAGGGTGACCCGAAAAAGAAAACTTTTTTACCATCGCTGTATAATCCTCCGGGTTTAGCGCTTCTCCCTTGATTATAATAATTTTTTACCATTGTCTTGCCAGAGGCGCGCCGACATTATTGCTCAGATTCCCCTCCGAACTGCAGAGTGCAGGCACTGTACTGCCCACCTCCAGGACTCGAGTCTGGCTTAGTGGTGTCCCTTGAATCATTTCATAAATGTTAAATTCCTCACACCCCAATATAAATCAAATAATAATTAAAAAATTATTTTGACCAGACGACAAGTGAGTACAGTTAAGTAGCTTGTTTATAGTTGTGAGTGCCCAGTGAGTACCAGCTGCTCACCTGGAGGGGCTGCAGACGGGGCTGGTCACATAGAAATGAGTGAAGAACCTGCTCTCTCTGGCTAGCTGGTCCAACTGAGGCGTCCTGCAGTCATGAATGTAATATTTTAACACCACCTTAAATCACATCTACATATTTCACGTTCGATTAATTTTATAAACTACCATAGAATAATGTGTGAAGTGAGTGTTGAATTTATAGTTTATCGATTTGGATAATTAAGGCTGCATTTCACCTGAACACTTATCAAGAATACTTTAATCTGTTTAATAGTCATTGAAGTAAACTGTGTATATTCCGGTATACTAGCTGTTACAGATAAAACTTCAGTCTTAAATCTATGTTAAGAAATTAATACTAATGGATCGCTTCAGAAAGTAAATATTTACGTTAGCTTATGGTTGAGGCCTTCGGTATATCCAGGATTTCAATAATGTGGAACAAGATAGCAGTGTTAGAGGCAACGGGATTGTCACTTCTTGAACTTGCCACGTAACGTGTTGCTTCTACGGTAAGTTTATTCAGGTATACACAAATACAGTTACATATATTATCATACATAGCAGCATATGTGTAGAGAACCTAGGATAACCCAAAAGAGTCAGTGGCTTATTTCCATTGGGGTACTTTTAATGCCTTTTTATTATACTGTAAAGGAGATATCATACTATAAAGGAGATATACTAAGAATAAGGTAAAATGAGTTATATTTATACGAGTGTTAGCTAGAAAATAAGTCATTCTCGTCACTTTCTGTTGCTACATTCATCAGGCACCTTTTGGCTCTTATCTTGAACTAGCTCATGCTATGACTGGCTTTGACATGTGCAGGCAGTCTGTTCCATTTCTTTATTGCTGTACAGTGAAAGGTGTTTGAAGCCTGGGCACTACAAAGTTGTGCTCTCTACCCCTGGTACTATGGTTGCTTCGGTTCCCAACCTTGACAAAATTGGGAGCAAGATATTCTTAACACTTTGTGAGCAATTTTATGAACTTGATTTAACTTGAGTTGTTTTACTGTCTTCAACATTCAGCATATCCAATTGTTGTAATTTATCCTGGCCTACATGTTCTCTTGGACCCAGGTCCAGGATGAATCTTACCATTTTGTTCTGGGTGATTTGTACTTTTTTTTAAGTCAGAGTACCATGAAGAGCAAGCGTAATTCATGACATTGTATAAGGGCTAGACATAGGGTGCTGTGAGCCTCGGTAGGTAGACACTGTACTTGTCTGTAGAGGGACTTCAGTTTGGCACTCTTTGCTACGCTCTTCCCTATCAGTTCTCCTGACATGCATGGGTCAAAGGGGATTCCCAGATATTTTACTGAGGAAACTGAAGTGATGGATTCCCCATTACACTGGCCATTAAAATTATTTGCCCTTCTCAAATTGTTTCGTGCCAAAGAGTGTGGCTTCCGTTTTCCCGATGTGTAATGATAGTTTATTGTCTACTAACCATTTGCTACAGGACTCCATTTCCAGTGTTATTACATTAGCTATATCTAGTGGGTATTTACCTGACACTAACAGAGCACTGTCATCCGCATGTAGTAGGAGTTTGCACTTGATACTGATGGGCATGTCGTTTACATAACATAGGAATAATAAGGGACCCAGAATACTACCTTGGGGAACTCCGCGTGTTATCAGCAGGGGTTCTGATTCTGTTTCATTGATTTTGACTGTTTCCTGTTAAGATAAATGTTAAGATTGAACTTAAACCCCCAATGGAAATAAGTCACTCGGTCTGACTTTTTGGGGGTTATCCTAGGTTCTCCACACTTATGCTACTATGTAAATCTATGTAACTATTTGTGTATACCTGAATAACCTTACTTACGGAACCTGTGCCGATAGCTTGAAGTTTCTTATTGTGGTTGACAGTATCGAAGGCCTTTGCAAGTCTAAGGTTACGATTCCTATGAGCTTCCCTATCGACATTTCGGTTCTCATGTAATCCATCATTTTAATTAGGGAGGTGTCGGTTGAGTAAGAGCTAAAGTCTGTTTGTGCTGGAAAACCACTTCAACACATTGGTCATTCAAATTAAAAACTCTACTATTAGTTGTTATTTGCCTAGCAAAACTAGGGCTATTTGCATTATCCAAAACAACCATGAAATATCTAAACTAAAGCACCCACTGGACTTGCCTGGAGGTGGGATGACCTGAGAAACTGAGGTCGCCATAACCCAGGTCGTCAGCTAAGAGGATGATGATGTTTGGTAGTGTATCGTTGATCAAGTTGCAAGTCTCATCCAGCCAACACTCTCCTCCCTCCTTGAAGTTCACTTGCTCAGTTGGCACATTCTTTGCATTTTCTTCATGCAGCTCGTGCTCATCGGCTCCTACTCTTCCAACGTCACCAAGTAATAAATTCGCCAAGAAACAGAGGAAAAACAGACGTTTCATTTTAGTGTCCTTAAAAAAAAAAAAAGACAATGTTCTTACTTTTTGTAAGTTGTAATCGGTAGGACAAGGTCACCACGGCGCTCTGTTGCCGCCGCACCCACCGTCCAGCTACTACTGCATCAGCAGGTCCGGACCATCTGGTATTATTGACTAGATAAGATGCTATCATTCTCTTGAGGGTAGGAGTAGGTGTGTGCGCGCGTGTGTGTGTACTCGCCTATTTGTGGTTGCAGGGATCGATTCATAGCTCCTGGCCCCGCCTCTTCAGAATTTGGTAAACACAAGCCTATCTGATGTTATCCTGACGCCAAATGACTTTGAACAGGCGATAAATGACATGCCCATGCACTCTGCCCCAGGGCCAGACTCGTGGAACTCCGTGTTCATCAAGAACTGCAAGAAGCCCCTATCACGTGTTTTTACCATCCTATGAAGAGGGAGCATGGACACGGGGGTCGTCCCACAGTTACTAAAAACAACAGACATAGCCCCACTCCACAAAGGGGGCAGTAAAGCAATAGCAAAGAACTACAGACCGATAGCACTAACATCCCATATCATAAAAATCTTTGAAAGGGTCCTAAGAAGCAAGATCGCCACCCTCAATTACACAACCCAGGGCAACATGGGTTTAGAGGAGGTCGCTCCTGTCTGTGCCAACTGCTGGATCACTACAAGGTCCTAGATGCACTAGAAGACAAAAAGAATGCAGATGTAATATATACAGACTTTGCAAAAGCCTTCGACAAGTGTGACCATGGCGAAATAACGCACAAAATGCGTGCTAAAGAAATAATAGGAAAAGTTGGTAGATGGATCTATAATTTCCTCACAAACAGAACGCAAAGAGTAGTAGTCAACAGAGTAAAGTCTGAGGCGGCTACGGTGAAAAGCTCTGTTCCACAAGGCACAGTACTCGCTCCCATCTTGTTTCTCATCCTCATATCTGAAATAGACAAGGATGTCAGCCACAGCAACTGTGGAAAATTGCATTTATCTGAATGTAACTAATTATGTACATAACAGTAAATGATAAAGATAATTATTATTTATCAATGTTACTTAGACAAGTAGGAATTTGGGACACCTAGGTCGCAAAAAATGTCCCCCTTCGATACCTACCACTGTCATAACCACAAGTTGCTCTGGACCTATTAATTAAATGAAATATACATACACCAGGAATACTGGTAAATATATAAATTTGTGGACTGTATATTAAAAATAAATGGTTATATATATACACAATTACATAACAGAAGGAAAATATATCTTAATATCACTCACCAATTTGACTGGAGATTAATATGTATCATACTCAGAAAACCTCACTCTAACTAAATCTATGAAAATAATGCTGGCCAGAATTACACACAAATCTAGAGAGCTTATCTAAGGTTCCTGGAGCTGTCTTGTCCAGTCGTCTGATATCTTAAGTTATGCAGGAATGCACATCCACCAATTTCGCCGCCTATTTGAGAGGTGTCAACACAATTTTAACCTCTAGAGCACGAAAAATTCTTCCCATTACACCAACGTTTGTACAACATTCAAAACCAAGATGGCGAGTCTCGTCTGCGCAGACGCAGGCTCTCCGTTTTCTATGACAAATATTATTAAATACAGTATGGCCATCTATATACATATAAATACTGAATATTTGGAAAATATATACAGTATTTTCCACAGCAACGTGTCTTTGCAGATGACACCCGAATCTGCATGACACACTTCCATTGCAGACACTGCAAGGCTCCACGCGGACATCAATCAAATCTTTCAGTGGGCTACAGAAAACATGAAGTTCAACGATGAGAAATTTCAATTACTCCGATATGGTAAACATGAAATTAAAACTTCATCAGAGTACAAAACAAATTCCGGCCACAAAATAGAGCGAAAAACCAACGTAAAAGACCTGGGAGTGATCATGTCGGAGGATCTCACCTTCAAGGACCATAACATTATATCAATCGCATCTGCTAGAAAAATGACAGGATGGATAATGAGAACCTTCAAAACTAGGGATGCCAAGCCCATGATGACACTCTTCAGGTCGTTTGTTCTATCTAGGCTGGGATATTGTTGCACACTAACAGCTCCTTTCAAGGCAGGTGAAATTGCTAACCTAGAAAATGTACAGAGAACCTTCACGGCGCACATAACGGAGATAAAACACCTCAATTACTGGAAGCGCTTGAAGTTCCTGAACCTGTACTCCCTGGAACGCAGGCGGGAGAGATACATGATTATATACACCTGGAAAATCCTAGAGGGACTAGTATCGAACTTGCACACGAAAATCACTCTCAACAAAAGCAAAAGACTCGGCAGACGATGCAACATCCCCCCAATTCCCCGGAACTCTCTCCAGGTAAACTCCAGGTAAGCAATGAAAAGCAGGGGTGTCACTAGCACGTTAAGAGACAATACAGTAAGTGTCACGGGCCCAAGACTGTTCATCTGCCTCCCAGCATACATAAGGGAGATTACCAATAGACCCCTGGCTGTCTTCAAGCAGGCACTGGACAAGCACCTAAAGTCTGTACCTGACCACCCAGGCTGTGGCTTATATTTATTTATTTATTTATTTATTTATTTATTATTTATTTATTTATACATAGAGGTACAAAAAATACAGGTAAGAGCAGCATGCCAAAGCCACTTATATGCATAGCATTACGGGCTGGCTTAAAATTAACTTAAGATTAAGCAATGATGAAATCGGTGATAAAACATTATTGTAAACAGATAACTATAAAGCACAAATGAGTATTACAAAGACAGGTCATATGGTTGCATGCATTGCTGTACATTCAGTCGAATGGAGTATTCTGTTAGGTAGTGTATTTAAAAAAATAACAAAGTTAGATTGGGTCCTAGGTTTAACATTTGTGTGATATAATTGTGAGTAACATATAGGATACCTGGAGTTTACCTGGAGAGAGTTCCGGGGGTATACAATTTATAAGGTTCAGTTATTCAGTATTTATTTGGTTTTGAGTGAGTAAGTGATCTTTGAGAAGAGACTTGAATTTATAAACAGGTAGTGTTTCTTTTACATTTACAGGTAATGAATTCCAGATTTTAGGGCCTTTTATGTGCATTGAGTTTTTGCATAGCGTGAGATGGACACGAGGAACATCAAAGAGTGATCTGTGCCTTGTGTTATGGTCATGTGTTCTGTTGAGGTTGCAAGGAGATGCTTGAGGGGAGGGTTAATATCAGAGTTAAGTGTTCTATGTATGTAATAGGTGCAGTAATAAGTATGGATGTTTTGTATGGTGAGTAGGTTGAGTGTTTTGAATATTGGTGGAGTGTGTTGCCTGTAGTGAGAATTTGTTATCATTCTAACTGCAGCCTTTTGTTGGGTAATTAGTGGTCTGAGATGGTTAATTGTTGTTGAGCCCCATGCACAAATTCCATAGGTGAGATGGGGGTAAATAAGAGAGTGATAAAGGGCCAGGAGGGCTGGACTGTGGAACATAGTACCGTATCTTCGATAGTATGCCTACAGTCTTGGAAATTTTCTTAGAAATTTGTTGTATATGTGTATGAAATTTGAGTCTTTTAAATCAAGGTGGATTCCTAAGAATTTTCCCTCTGTTAGCTTTGTGATAGGTGATCTGTTTATCGTTATGTTAAGAGGTACATCTGTAGCTCTGTTTACCAAACTGAATGAAGTAGGTTTTGTCAATGTTTAGTGTAAGTTTGTTAGTCATCATCCAGGTAGATATTTTCTGTAATTCGGTGTTTACAGTATTGGCTAGCGTGACTGGGCTCGGGTGAGAGAAGACGTATGTAGTGTCATCTGCAAAAAGTGTGGGTTTTTAGTAATTGCGAAGCATTTGGTAGGTCATTTATGTATAGGAGAAAGAGAAGAGGGCCAAGGACACTTCCCTGTGGGACACCAACTGTAATTGGTTGAGCGGAAGAGCTTGCCCATTTGCATACACATATTGGCTTCTGTTGCTGAGGTATGACTTGAGGTAGTTGAGGGAGTGCCCTCTAATACCATAGTGTGACAATTTTACGTGGAGCAAGTCATGGTCAACTGTATCAAAAGCTTTACGTAAGTCAATGAAGATCCCAGTGGGACTTCTTTTTTCTCTATTGCAGTGTATATATGTTCTAGCATGTGTATAATAGCATCATTAGTATTTTTATTAGGCCTGAATCCAAATTGGGCAGGGGTTGAGAATGTTTTGGGAGATGAGGTAGGAGTAGATTCGTTTATGAATTAATTTTTCGAAGATTTTTGAGAGAGGTGTAAATTGGATATTGGCCTATAGTTATTCAACTCTGTTTGGTCTCCTCCTTTATGGATCGGGGTGACCCTTGCTATTTTGAGAGCTGTAGGGTAAGGTGGAGGATTCAATGGATTTGTTAAAGAGTGTTGCAATGATTGGTGATAGTACTTGTGACACTTTTTGTATATAAAGGGTGGTAAGGTATTTAAATCTCCTGCCTTGTTTTTTAGTGTGTTGATAATAAGGGAGACTTCGTATGGGTTAGTCGGAGCTAGGAACAATGTGTTCGGGTAGTTGCCAGTGAGGTAGTCATTTGGTGGGGTATCTGAGCTTGGGATTTTATTGGCAAGGTTTTGTCCTATAGTGGAGAAGAAATCATCGAGTCTGTTTGCTGTTTCTGTTGGTGGGAGTTGGGGTTCATCTGATTTTGCTAATTTTATTTCGCTATTTCGTGATATCTTTTTTGTTCCCAGAATTTGTGATAGGGTCTTCCAGGTCTTTTTTATATCACCTCGTAAGTTGGATAATCTGTTCTCATAATACAATTTTTTTGCCCTTCTTATCAGGCTGGTTAGGATTGACGAGTAACGTTTTGTTTGGTCTCTGGTTATGTGACCCATTCTGTACTGTTTTTCATATCGGTGTTTTGTATTTATGGATTTGAGAATGCTGGGTGTTAGCCAGGGACTGTTCAGTCTCTTAGCTGTCATCTGTTTAGTTTTCTTAGGGCAGTGCTTGTTATAGAGGTATTGGGTCTTTTTTAGAAAATTATTAAAACATTCGTCAATATCTGTATAGATTTCTAGCTCAGTGTGCCAGTCAATGTTTGTTACTGCTGTTGTGAAGTTATTAATGGCTGCCTCATTGTGAAGTC